ATGCATGTCATTTATTATTTATTGATATTGGACATCGATTAGAGAAAACTACAATCAATCGGACGTCGTTTTTGGAAATACATGACGTCACATTGGACGTCGATTAGAGAATGTGACGTCAGATTCGGACGTCGATTTGAGGAACAGACGTCGATTAGAGACCGGACGTCGAACTGAGTCTAACATATATAAAAGGCGTACATTTCTTTTCCCCGTGTAGTTTTATTTTTATTCTTGCTGAAGCATTCACGTGTGCAGTGATGTGTATTTGAACTGTCGTCAGTCTCAGTCAAACGCCATAATGAGTATGATGAAACAGAAAGTGGAATGAATGAAATAAATGAACTGATGAATGACAAATCAAACATATTAATATATATATGACAACGATGACATAAGTACCTGCATTTGAGAGGGTTAACAGATGAAGTACTATTTCATTAAAAGGGACCAAAGAGAAATAACCAAATTTAAAAAGGGAATGAAATTTACAGGACCTAAATTGTACTTGTTCGGAAATACTGTCGAAATAATTGATAGTTTTAATGAAATATGATGCCTCCTTAGAGAGGACAAGACTGTTGAATAAAGCTGCATGTCTTAGAAGCTGACATAATAATCGGTTGGGCCTTTAATATGAATAAGATATGAGTCTTCGTTTCAACAAGAGCTTTTGATGTTTGATGTTAAGCAAACTTTAATGCATAACATAATATTAACAAAAATACCGAACTCAAAGATAAATTCAAAAGGAGGAAGTTCATAAAACATGAAAAAAATCAAACGGTCGGATTTGTCAAACGACGGAGCAAATGAAATACAACTATCTTATTCCTGACTATAAATCAATCCGCCAAATTTTGCCAATTATTCATTCGTTTATAAATCGACTATTACATTGCACTCTGCAGAAAAATTATAACAAATTAAATAGGATTGTCAGGAATTTGTTTTACATTGGACCTCATAACATACATTGCATTTTTTCGGGTTATGATAGACACCTATGCAATCTTTCTTACTTAGTCACAACAATGACACGATGACTTACACAGATTGATGTCTAGATTGGGTGAAAAAAGAGAACATACAGAATTTCAAAAAATCTGGTTTATCTCAGAGATTTTAATGAAATTAACTCAAATATGAAGTTTTATAAATATTACATGAAGATTGAGAAAATCCTGGGCCTTAACTATGATGACTCAGCATAAAGTCACAGTTTACGGTATGCATAGTTTACTTAAAGCCCTGAATGCAAAATAAATTTATAATATATGCACATTTGTAATTTAAATTGTTTAGAAAAGAGGGACGAGAGATACCAGAGGTACAGTCAAACTCATAGATCGAAAACAAACTGACAACGCCATGGCCAAAAATAAAAAGACAAACAGACAAATAATAGTACAGATGACACAACATAGAAAACCAAAGACTTAGCAACACGAACCCCACCAAAACTGGGGGTGATCTCAGGTGCTCCGGAAGGGTAAGCAGATCCTGCTCCACATGTGGCACCCGTCGTGTTGCTTATGTTATTACAAATTCGGTAAGTAGTCTAATTCGGTAGGTCACATTGGTGAAAAGGGAAGGGTATTGTAGTTACGACATAAGGAACATATCCGATATCATCTGTGAAACGGTTATTCCATAACGGTCAACCAACTCGTGATGGCGTCCGTAAAATTTACGAAGGGATGACTTCAACTTCACCATTTGGAACTCTTGGTTTAATAGCTTCCTTGTGAGCAGCAATCCTCTATCAAGGAAATCATGATAGGAAATACAAGCCCGGGAATATCGTATCAATTGGGAGATATATACTCCGTATGCAGGCGCTGCTGGAATGTTGCTACATAGAAATGGCAAGTTCACAATTGGGAAGCCGAAATCATCTCTTTTGTCGTAAAGTTTTGTTTTCAACAGACCCTTATTGTCAATTTATAGATGTAAGTCAAGATATGAGGCAGACTTAACTGTATTTGTAGTATCCTTTATCTCTAGCTCGATGGGATAGATTCGTTCAACATAGTCACCAAAGTTTGTATTATTTAGTGAGAGTGATCATCATCTATATAGCGGAACGTAAAGTTAAAGGATATTGCTACCTTCTTATATTTCTTCCTAAGAAGTTCCTGTATGAAGTCAGCCTCGTAATAATCAAGAAACAAGTCGGCAAGAAGAGGGGCACAATTGGTTCCCATTGGAATTCCGACAGTCTGTTGAAAAACACGTCCTCCAAACGTAACAAATATGTTGTCAATCAAGAAATCAAGCATCTTGATAATGTCAGTTTCAGAGAATTTTTTGTTTGAATCAGAATGATTCTTTACAAAGTAGGATTTATCCCTCCCCAAGACAAGATTCTTGTATCTACATTCGCCATTCTTTTTAATGAAACAAAGTAATACCAACTCTTTCAATTTGTCTTTTAGTTTGGAATGGGGAATACTTGTGTAAAGTGTAGAAAGTCAAATGTTTTAATACTATTGCAAGATGAGAGAGTCTTAGATTGTATGTACTCTAAAAGATCTTTGGAATTTTTTAGTATCCACATCTGATTCACGCCACCTCTAGAATAGGCAGTTTCACAATAACTTTGGAGCCCGGCTTTGATTGCTGATAAAGTAGATGAAAAATGCCTACCCCCTAGTTCATAAAACAGATAATTTAACTTGTAAATGCTATGATTTTATTATTTTAAAGGTCTTTTGTATAGAAAATAATAGCTGTGCTTGGAAGTTATGCAAAAATCAGATGTTAGCAGTCTATAATTCTTATATGATTTGTATATTAGGGAATACGTTGATATGATTGGTCGAAAAGACTTCCGGCAGTTGTTCTTGACGTTGTTTATTTTTCGATAGACGACGTTGACCGAACTTCTTTTTGTAACCAATGTAAACAAGATGGCGGCGATAATAACACAATCCGGCTCGACGTTAAATAAAATTATTTTCACTTCGGACTTTTATTTGTTTGTGAGTGAATTGGTCGAGTTTATACACCAATAAATTCCTTTAAAAAGGCGTTTAATCCTATAATAAAACTTTTAGTGAATTCATACATCAGACTGGTATTTTCATACATACAATTTTGGCAAATATGGCTTTGTTTAAACACTTCTAGTTCATATATTAGCTAAATTATGTTAGATATATGGTAAGAGATGATACTATTGTGACAAGATTTCTAAAATGACCATTTGAGGCAGAAATTGTGATCTTTCATTGACAAATAGGCATACAGTAAGATGTGGACTGGAGGCAGAGGCAGGATTGGATACTTTATATAATCTTGAATGTTGGAATGATTAACTACTAAACATTACATGTATAGTATACTGAAATGCTTTCAATTTGTTATCAGAATAGTTTCTAACAGGTTCTAGATTTTCTTATCAGAAAACATGCACATAGGGTAAGCTGGCAATAATTAAAGTCTTGTTTTCAAATTCTTAAAAAAATTGAAACAGGGGTGGGGGTTTAAAATGTACTGTAAAAGAAAACTTAGAGTATGTGCAGTGATTTCGTTAAGGCTATATTTCTGACAAATAAGTATTGTTGTGAGAAAAAGTGTTTTAGAGAGTTTTCTATTTGAATAAATGTTAGTATATGTTGCACTTTGTAAATACAGCTGTTTTTCAAACAACGCCTCTTTTGGGGAGATATATAATATTCATAGATAATTTGATTTGTTGACGTACTGGTTCCCAGATATGATCTCTATGTTTCATCTCATAGAGACATAACTTGTGACTGTTACCGGTATAAAATAGTATCGTTGCGGTGCAAATTGAACTCTGAAGTAGGCATAAAGTGGAGGTAGAGGTAGTCAGAATTTTAGTATAAGTTTAAACTCTAACAAGTTCGGGGCACATAAATGTTGAAAATATGCCGCACAGCCCTATGTTTTGACCTTTGAATAAAATAGTACTGCATATGAACTTTCCATTCTAGGATATAATTTTTTGCGAAACTTCATAGTAAAAGTGGCACAGTTTTAGCCGCAAAGGGAGTTCCTATGAGAAATTTCATTGTCTATATTTACAGAAATGCAACCTATAGGAGACATTACCGTTTTCTCGTGACTGTCACTTGCTTGTTGACACAATATACCTAGCTGAACACATTATATTATACCATATACTTTAAAAAGGTTACGTTAACAGAAATCGATCATCACGATAAAAAAAAATTGTTAACAAAAAAACTTGAAAAAGGGTTCATGTAGACAACTCATTTGACGAAGGAAAGTATATAAAATCATAAGCAATATTGCATCAATTGTATAACTGTATGCTGCATTGTCCCTTTTTCCCATTTTTCATGATTTGTATGCATCATAGATAAAGTTTTACTGGCATATTTAATTGTATATCACTTTTTTTAGTGTATTCAGTAAAAGTTGGAATAACACTTTTCATTATTTAAATAGATTCATGTGAAAAGTAAAATAACAAAAATACTGAACTCCGAGGAAAATTCAAAAACGGAAAGTCCATAATCAAATGATAAAATCAAAAGCACAAAACACATCAAACGAATGGAGAACAATTGTCATATTCCTGACTTGAATAGATGTTTCGTGTAATACATTTGTTATTGGTGTGATTATGTCAGTTTCCGAAAAAAAAATATAAATGAATATACTAGATGATTTCATTAAAACGTAATAACACTGTTATTTACACATGAAAATTTTTACTCGCTCAACTATCATTGGTTTCGGTTTCGGTATAGGTCTCGGTTTCAGCTTATGGTAACGATGACAATTATGATGTCAGGAATTGGAGTTATGTTATTATTTGTCCCTTCTACTATATCGTATCAATTAAGGGTCTTGTTTCAATTTACAAATCGTAAATGATTGTACATATTCTTTAAATAGATTTGCAGTTGTCTAAGAAATTTTTTTTTCTGCATGCAAACTGAGGTCTTTTTCTGACAACTAACAATTTTTCAGTTTACTTTCTATTAATTTTCAACTGTTCTTACCTGAAGGCGTCTGGCTTGATGAATGGGAAGAATCTGAAGCAGAAAATAAAAAGATATTAACATTAATTTTTAACACAAAAGGGGAACTTATTTAATGAAAGCTCACTCATAAAGCGATATGATTAAAGTTATTCTTAACAGATGACCGATTCGCACAAACATTTGCTTTCTTAGTTCTTATACTATGGGGGTGTTCGTTTATCTTAACTGTAAATCTTTTCGACACTGAACTCCCTTCCCTTGGAGTAAAATCAATATAATTGCATAAAAAGTAAAATGCAAAAATGTCACGGCGAGTTTTCCTAAGGGTCTAGTTTCTATCATGTATTGGAAATTTTACAGTCTGCAAGAACGAAAACATCTCACATAATAACAGTCAAGGATTTCGTTACCACAAATTAGTTTAAACCTTTACTAAATTATTTCATAGATACAAATATTTGGTTTGCAAATTGTGCTATAGAAAAACTTATTACAAACGGGATATGGAAATCTAGCATTTTCGTGGCTATTCAGTTTCGTGGGTTGCCAAATACTGCATACAACCTTATATAAAATGTGTCTTTCTTTGAACATTAAAATTCGATGTTCACCAGTACCAATGAAATCCACGAAAAAAATGGTATCCATGATGTTGTTCACCGAGTTGTTAACATCTACGTCATTTGGTCTCTGATAGATAGTTGTCTCATTGGCAATCATGATATCTTCTTATTTTTATATCCTCTAATTTCTAGTTTCGTAATTCTGTAATCAGCGATCAGCTATCGAAACGTCACTTAGACATGACAATTTTAAGATTCAAAATTAATATTTATTATTTTGAGTTCGAATCAAATTTTAACTAAACTATTAATCTGTTTAATGGTATTATTTTGAACTAAAGGGATGTTTTGGACCAAGTCCTAAAATATGGCCAGGTCCGTCGACATTTCCTCATCGACAAGGATGTCTTATCATTTTTGTGTTAAAATCTATATTCGAATAATCATCTTTCCGGCTATTTTTGAAACATTGAAGATAGATTAAGCATATGTAAAAAAATGTTTGCAATGAACACAAAATTTTTTTATTCAGAAAAAATAACCCCACTTTGGTTTTAACGAAGACGTAATCTAAGACCAGCACTGACGAGGTTCCTTACTTTAAGCAATTGTATACAAATTCGTCGGGATGTACTGAAATGTTCCTTTTTTATACCGACACCCACTGATCAAAAGGTACACAAAAGAAAATCAGAAAATAATAACATTAATTTTTTCCAAAATTATTTATTTTATAATTAATGGTGATTTCATTTGTTTTATTACACATCTTTACAAATGGATATTGGTAAACTATTAAGCGTGTAGATCATGATGTTGTCCAATTAAAATTGGATACCATATAAGTATATATGTCGTGTACAAGTTGCGATTTTGTACAGGTTATGAGATGTACAGAAATATTGTACATGTTATAATTTGTACAATGGATAAATACAAAAGTACCTCGTATATGTTATTACATGTTCAAAATATTGCTTGAAAATAGTTTTAACTTGTACAAAATTTGAAAATAAAGATATGTTTCAATTATTACAACACATGCAATTAACCTCAATACATTTTCATCATTTTCTTTTAATTTTCATTAATGTTATTGTGTTTTGTCCTTTTTGATACAGTTAATGACCAGATGAATAGTTTAATAATTACTTACAATACGAAAGTCAAAAAGTCTGAAAAGACCAATTTTTGTCTGAATTTGCATGAATTTTTACTCGACATTATTTCTTTGTCTAAAATATATTTAAAAATTCTTAACAAAGTCTGAATTAGTGTAATAAAGTTCTCGGGTTTTTTTTTTTACATATGTCTTGACAGTATTAACATTGTCTGAAATTTCTCGACTTTCTTTATCATCTAATAAGTGTCTTGATTAGTCTCGACCAATTCTTGACTGTCTTAAATTTGTCTCGATCAATCTTGACATATTCTTTACATTCTTAATAATGTCTGAATATGTCTTGACATATTCTTGACATTCTTAATAATGTCTGAATATGTCTTGACATATTCTTGACATTCTTAATTACGTCTGAATATGTCTTGACACATTCGTGACTGTCTTAACGCTGTCTGAATATATCTCGACACATTCTTGACGGTCTTAAAGATGTCTTAACACTATATCAACAGTATAAATTTCGTCTGAATTGTGTAAAGACACATTCCTAACAGTTTACACTTTCTTTTGCTGTTTTATACTCATTTCTATTATCGCTCAACTAAACTTAGAAGAATTAGTGTACAATAATACATTGCTACTGATAAAAAGCCACATTTTGGTACAATAATTGTTTATTTGCCATATTAACATTGAATATTATGCATGAACAATGCAATATGTCTACAGTATGATTGGTTTCAATCATTCAGCAATTATTTATAAGATTTATAAATCAACATATGTAATTATTTACAAACCCACATTTAAATTGGTTTATATCAATATACTCACATTTATATTTGTTAATATTTTAAATTTCATACCCATAATCGTATTTATAAAAATATTTATATAGTACCCACATTTTTAATTATAAAAATATTTACATGCCCAACTTTTGTTTTTGTTGTAATAAGTGTAACTTTAAATAACAGTATATTCTTTAAAGAGAAATAAAGATAAAGATATATCATGTATATTGGTCATGATTTGTAAAACTCAGAATTGTCAAGCCATACTGAGAAAAAAAAAAGAATGTCGAGAACCTGTCGAGAAATTTCAAGACAGCATTCAAATGTCGAGAATTTGTCAAAAATATTTAAGACAATATTCAGAATGTCGAGAATTTGTCGAGTAAATTTCATACAAATTTAATATAAATCAGAAATTGTCAAGAAAAATTTAAACACAAGTCATACTTTTGGAGAATGTCGAGTAACTGTGCATGCAAATTGAGACAAAAATTGGTCTTGTCAGACTTTTGGACAGTTGTAGTGTTAATACCTTTTAAAACAAACATGAAGCCGACAAACATTATTCAGTATTCTCATCTGGTGAATTATAATTGTGAGTTTCCGCTTAGAATGCAATAGTAAAGATTTACATCAGTTATGCTCAAGGCCAAAAAAGTTGAAGACCAGATTCAATATTTCCAAACTACAATGACCTGAAAACGCATTATGACAACATAAGTAGTGAAGCAATAAAAACATTCCTGAAACTTTGTGATCACTGTGCTCTTAAAAATGTTCTGAGCTTTTGATTATTGTTATTTATTATTCAATAATTTGCAAATATATATTCTGCTTCATTTAAATTTATTTATAAATTTTGTACAAGTTAAAACCATTTTTAAGCAATGGTTTGTATATGTTATAACATGTGCGAGGTACTTTTGTATGTTATAACTTGTATTTTTGCATTGTACAAGTTATAACATGTACAATATTTCAATATACACGTTTTGTTTTTTCGTTTTTTTTTTTCGTTTTTTTTTTTTGCAGTAATAAAATAGTTGAAGTACTCCGTATTAATATGAAAGATGCACGAGATTTCCCTTTGAACTTTTAAGTATGACACTTTGAATTCTGATCACTCAAAGCATATAATGATTTTTATCGATTATTTATTTAGTTTTAACTATTTACAATTAGTTTGTTCAATTCTTTTATAAAACGTAGTTATATTTTTTGTCTTACCTTTAATTTAAAACTAATATTTATTTTCTAATTATTAATCTTTTTTTAATTATAGTTATTGGTTAAATTTGATACAATATTTTCATTTTTTCATTTTTAATTTGCTATTTTCTTTTACGCCAATACTTATGACAGCAGTTAGGACATCCTAGCTAAGAAACTCCTATAGCTTCGATGTGCATGCTGAGACATGTCGTAAGTCGGTCCTAACTTTATCCTAATTTCTGTCCTAGGACCGATCTTGGGAAAGTTTCGATAAACAGGCCCCTGACACTCACCTATTATAACTGTATAAGAAATGTTCGCAGAATCATGAAAACACGTCCACGTCATGTGATCGTCTTTCTTTATTAGTGGATCTATTATCACAAAAATACTAGAAGTATTTCCAGAAAACTTGAAGTTGTCTTTAGTCTCTAGATCACAAAAACCTCCTTTGTGACATGTGATACGTTGCATGTTAGAATTACTCCATGTTGCTGGGCCTTCAAAGGAGCTGATTTGACATGCCAATAATAAATGCGAATTTAATTTGAGCGAGCCATATCCGTTGATAGAAAGTGCACCTGAAAAACAGTTTCAAAAAGATTACGACAATGTTTCTATACAGATATAAAATATCTTTTTTCGCTTTTCATTAAAAATCAATAAAAATTGTATTACGAAAGTTGAAAAGGAAAATAACGTTAAAAAGTAAAATGTATGCATTAAATTCAAAACTATAAGACATTGCTATTGCTAGTCAGTACTTCGGTACTAACATGATTTATAACAAACATTTCTAAAATTGTCCCGTTTATAAATTTATAAATTTTAAAGAAACTGAGGTTTCAACTCCCGCAGGCAAAGTTGACCTTAGATGAATTTAGCTATGTTAGCTACTCTTGGTCATATAGCCCTTCAACTGTTTCGATTCTTACACATCCTTGGCTTTCAAATATTCGGCTCTGAGCGTTCCTGATGAAGGTAAATCCAGAAAAGCGCTTCGGACGCATTAAATTTATATTGTGTTGTTTTCATTTTTTATGAATCGGCCAAACTCAGGTCAAATATGCTATCGCTCAATTCAACAGATCGAATGTGAGGAATAGTCATTGCTAACAATTAACAAATGCTTAGCTAGAAATAAAAGGTGAAATAACAAAAATATCGAACGCCAAGAAAAATTTAAAACTGACGAAACAATCTTGTGTTGAAGAAGTTGTTTCAATGAGTTGTAGTGTGTGGCTAACAGCTTACAAAAAGTAAAATAACAAATATAACGAACTCAAAGGAAAATTCAAAAACGGAAAGTCCCTTATCAAATGACAAAATCAAAAGCTCAAGCGAATAGAAAACAACTGTCATATTCCTCACTTGGTACAGGCATTTCCTTATGTGGAAAATGGTGGATTAAACCTTGTGTTATAACTAGCTAAAGCTCTCACTGGTATGACAGTCGCACAGAATTCCATTATATTGACAACTATGTCTACTTTAAAGGCCAACCAAAGTTTCACTCTCTGTTGGGACTGGTAGGACAATAATTGATTTACGTCGGATATCGGTAAATTGTTGAATACGATTTGGTAGTTTTCGATGGCGTAGTAGTCAAAGAATAGTGTCATGATTCTGATTCTATCTAACAGTTGTCGGAGAGTAAACTCGCAGCCCATCGTTTATGTGCATTTGTCAAAATGAATTCCTTTTGATTAGTTGCTTAGATTTAAAATTCAATTTATCATAAAAATGTGCATTGACTGCATTTTTCCATTTATGTGCAAAGATGGAAACTTGTTTTTTAAATTTCAATTATAAAACTCCAGTTTTAATTACTCAAATATTTTATGGAACTAAAAAGAAATTCGGAATCATGTGTTTTGTACATTTAAGATATCAATCGTACATTATAATAAATTTTACTTTTTTTAATGGTTCAATACCCCCAAAGAGTGGACTAGGGTATAGAAATGTTGTCATTCTTTGAATTCTTCGATTGAACAGTGATCCCCATGGCAAAGGGACGTCTGTTTGACTGTGCTAAATGTATAAATACACAGATGCACGTTCGGTAAAAACCAAGACGTTAAAGTCGATTCCGCAGGAAGGGAGAATGCCACGTACTCTATACGATCAATATGCCTCTTAATAACAACTCTTTATGCGCTCCTCAAATGGCGTATTGCAAGTCAAAGTTTCCGAGGCAAGACGTTCCGGTCACACTGCCAGTTAGACCACAGTCGTTTCGGTCATACTTTGCAAAATAGTTGTGGCCATACTTTGCAAAATAGTTGCGGCCATGTTGTTTTTAATTACAAAGGAAGGAAAATAGAATTGATTTTAGAAACAGACGTTAAGACATTTGTTATTTTCTTATAAAACAAGTTGCTAGAGAAGACCTTGCAGCATAAATGGAACTCAAAGGCCAAACTTGAATTGATTTTGTAAATTGGTGTTAACAATTTCGTATCCGTATATCGTGTCATTTTTATCCAAGTCGACCCATTTGCAGTACCAATCTATCTATTAAAGAAATCACAAATGCAGCTTCCTTCGCCTCATTTTAGACAAATACCTCGAATTTGAAATATATGACAAACGAGACGATTTCAATTTTGAAATATAAATTTTCCTCACCTTAGCAGCAATATTCCAACTTCACCCGTGTATTGAGCATACATTTCTCAGCTCAAAACGATATTCAAAAGTTTGCAGCTGATACTCAGACTTTGTAAAACGTCATCGGTGTATTGGCAAACAATTAATAAGACAGGGTTTTGTCAAGTGAATGTCTCATTTCATTGGCAAGTACCAAGACCAAAAACATAAATATTCACTGTCTGCTTCACAAATATTACGGGATGGTCTTGATCTATAGATTCTAGGTGCTGAAGTTGTGGATCTTTTTATTTACTTTACAATTTTCCCTTCATTTGTCTTTGTACTATTATGTTATTTTTGGTCGAATGAATCTTAAAGTGATTCGATATTAGTGCCTCAAACTATCGGGTATTTGGCTTTAACGTTTCTGGTGCGGTGGGTACAGAGGTACGATTCAGATGCATGAGGTATTAATAGTGTTGTTTTCATTTTTATACCCTGGTATTTATATTTTACTTATTTGTTCTTTATAGGGGAAGTGTATAATAAATTATTTTTTATTATACTGTATGTACATACGTACATTTGAAAGAAAAACTCACCGTTTATTGATTTCCATGTTAAAAAAGTAAATACGCAAAATTTGAAATAATCCATTGTTATGTCTTATTATCTCCTTTATGCAATGTCCAATTTATTACTATAATATCAAAATTTACAACACCATGGAACGCGTCTAGAATTTCTCCGTATACTCTCTGTGTAAAAGCCTGAAAAAATGCATGTAATATCATTAAATTAATTCAATATATTAACAGTAATCTAGCGCAGCAATGTAAGTTATGCTTAGATTGATATTTTATACCATGTCTACAGATAGAAGAAAAGAAGGGTTTAATAAATCGCTATAATTTCATTTGTATCCGTTGTTATTCTGTGGTTTACATGTTGTAGTGTACTATTGTATTATTTATTTATGTATTTCTCTGTCCTGAGTGTTCTTGCGTTTATTTGTACTGTATTCCTGTCACGTAGTGTTGTCATTTAAGCGGTATTTTTAATATTGCCATATAAGTGGGAGGTTTGGCTAGCCATAAAACCAGGTTCCACCCACTATTTTTTTTCTTAAAATGCCCTGTACCAAATCAGGAATATGGCGGTTGTTATCAAATGTTCCGTTTCTATGTATATAGGCGTTTGTTTTTGTTGCAGTTCAGTGTTTCTGTTGTTCCGTTGTTTTCCTTTTATAGTTGATGTGTTTCCCTCGGTTTAAATTTATAACCCGGATTTGTTTTCGCCTTATCGATTTATGACTATTGAACAGCGGTATACTACTGTTGCCTTTATATAACCAAAGCGTACGATACTTTCCCTTGTATAAGTTTTGTATTTGAAAGTTGATAAAACTATATAAGTGGTGAAGAAGTCCAAATTATTTAAATTAAATTTTGTAATTATCTGAATTAAAATTCATAAAATTGTTTTGCTATTTATTCAACACATCAAATTGCTGTTGTAGACAATTTTAAAGGGGCAATAGCTGTCAAATTCATGTTCACCGATTTGACTCAAATTCTCATATTTGATTTATATCAATGTAAAACATTTATCCAAACTATCAAAAGTCCAAAATAAACAATTTACAGGGCATGGGCTAAATAATATGTAGCTTCGTTTCGTGTGTATTTTAGTCCAGACGCCATCTAATTAATAATCGAGTTGACCTCCGATGACCATATAAGCGGTATAAACATAAATATATATATATATAAATAGATTAAGCGAACTCGTGCAATTTTATTTTTCTAGGTCTGCTTAGTTTCATATTATAGATTAAAAATATATGTTTTTCATCGTTTTTACCTGTATAAGAATGATTTTTGTGGATCGAATCAGTCAATCAAATGATTTACCTTTGTTTCACTTTCAATGTTGACATTCTTTTCCTTTAAATAATTTTACACGCACTATGCATGCGTTATCCATCTCTAGCTAAGGGGTTAAATTAAAGTTCACATGAATACGGATTCAATGAGGTCAAATTATTCACTTGCAAGTGAATAATTCGTCTTCAATGTTTCTTAGCTTATTTTGACACAATTGAACTATACTGGCTGCTAAACGCGAATAATTATTTCACTATTTCACTTTCAAGGATTAAACCAAAAAAATCATATTTGAGATTTTTTATATATCTCGTAGCTAGTGCCCCTTTAACAAAGTTAAGTTTTGCACAATTAGTAGTTTTCGAACGTTTTAAAGAGGACATACTGGACAGAAAAGTCTTGATTTATACCTGCAATGAAAGGCATATCTTTATTTTCCAAAAACAAAACTCGATGTACACAAATGAAACTGTGCATTTTAGTAGGAATTTAAAATGACCTTAAACGGTACCAAATGTATTGCACCAGACACGAATCTCGACAATTAATATAAGACACTCACTATACAAACGTTGACGAGCTGATATAACAGAAAAGAACCAAAAGTATTGCTATTGCTGGTGAGGTAAATACGGAGAAATTGGCGGAACCTCTTTACAACTTCGGGAGAGAAAAAAAAACACCAGGTTAATGATTATTATTTGAGATAACTTCGTGGTTTTATTCCAATCGCTCATTGAAAAAAAGTAAAATCACAAAAATACTGAACTCCGAGGAAAATTCAAAACGGAAATTCCCTAATCAAATGGCAAAATCAAAAGATAAAACACATCAAACGAATGGACAACAACTGTCATATTCCTGACTTGGTACAGGCATTTTCAAATGTGGAAAATGTTGGATTGAACCTGGTTTTATAGCGCTAAACCTCTCACTTGTATGACAGTCGCATCAAATTCCATTATATTTACAACGATGCGTGAACAAAACAGACATAAAAAGTAAAATCACAAAAATACTGAACTCCAAGGAAAATTCAATCGGAAAGTCCCTAATCACATGGCAAAATCAAATGACAAAACACATCAAACGAATAGACAACAACTGTCATATTCCTGACTTGGTACAGGCATTTTCAAATGTAGAAAATGGTGGATTGAACCAGGTTTTATAGCGCTAAACCTCTCGCTTGTACGACAGTCTCATCAAATTCCGTTATATTTACAACGATGCGTGAACAAAACAGACATAATAAATAAGATAGTCAAAATATGGGTACAGCAGTCATCACTGTGTTACAATATCAAAACAAACAATCATTTACAAAAAAGCACAAAAGCATCCATCAAATTAAAAACCACATTCATTGCTTCGCGTGTCTGACGTCAGAAAATGTAAACGTCACATAAGAAGAAATTTTGTCGTTCAATGTTTATTCAAAACAATTTTATAATTTCACATGGGGAATGTTGGTATACAGGGTTAAAAAATCAAAAGTTATGTTAGAATTAATTTCAGAAATAGACCGAGATTTAAAATTGTCCAGAAGTTCTTTAGAATTTTTAAGAATCCACATATGGTTAATACCACTACGCGAGTAAAATAAATGTGTCGTTTGTCGTTCAAATTATTTTCAAATTTATAATAGAACAATAACATAATGACATATAATAGAACAATAACATAATGACGGGATCTTTTAAAGTACAGAGTCACGTTACAAGAACCAAAGAAACACAAAAAGTCGCATATACAAAACACACAAGCAAAAATGAAAGATAATACAAACACATTGACGGGATGTATAAGTACCGAGCCACGTCAAATGGATATCACAGAAAACAAACCAAACAGTAAAAGTAATATTAATAATAGAACAAAGACAAATGAAAGAACAATATTACACGTTGTTAAGATGATAAACAACGTCAGTACGCAGAATCTATACTTCAAGACCATCATGTATTATTTGTGAAGTTGATACGGAATATTTATCAACAAGGTCTTGGTACCTTCCGATGAACTTTTTTTAGAAAAAGGACGAGACGTTCTTTGACATACCCCTGGTTCATCAACTTTCTGCTCAGACACTGGTGACGTTTTACAAAGTCTGAGTAGGAGCTGCAAGCTCTTGAATATCGAATAAGTTGGGAAATGTATATCCTATATGCAGGTGAAGTTGGTATATTGCTACTAAGGTGGGGGAAATTTATAATTATAAAATTAAAATCGTCTCGTTTGTCTTAGATTCTGGTACTGAGATGACTGTGTATGTCAAATTCGAGATATAAGTCTAAAAATGAGGCAGAAGAAGCCGTGTTTGTTGTTTCTTTAATTTCTAGTTCTGGGGGATATATTAATGGAACCCAATCAGAAAAGTTCGGATTGTTAATAGAAAGAACATCATCAATATATCTGAAAGTGAAATTAAAAAATCTGGCTTCTTTGATCTTCTTGTTTTTGACAAGTGTCTGAAGGAACTCCGATTCATATGAAAATAAGAAGAGGTCGGCAAGGAGAGGCGCACAGTTCGTTCCCATAGGAATGCCGACAATTTGTTGAAAAAGTCTACCTCCAAATTCAACAAATATGTTGTCGATAAGAAACTCCAGCATACTGATCACTTGTTCTTCTGTGTAGCATGTTTTACCCTTTTGTTCACTATTAACACAATATGCCTTATGATATCCCAAAGTAGTAAATTTATAGCGTATGCTACCATTTTTATGATGAAAGGCATTGTGGATTATTTCTTTCAGTCGATTTTTCAATTTCACATGGGGAATGGTGGAATACAGGGTTGAAAAATCAAAAGTTTTGATAGAACTAATTTCAGAAAAAGATCGAGATTTAAAATTATCTAGAAGTTCTTTAGAATTTTTAAGAATCCACATATGGTTTATACCACTACGCGAATAAACAGTTTCACAGTATTTCTGAAGACCCTCTTTCACTGCGGACAGAATTTTAGTCAATCTAATGGACAATTCTTTAGTGGAACATGCAGATGAGCCGGCAATGTACCGTTGTTTGTACGGAATTTTGTGAAGCTTAGGTATCCAATACAAACAAGGTAAGTCCTCCGATTTGGTGTTCAATGTAATGTTCATTGAAGCCATGAAGGACTTATGATTTGCTAACATCTCATCCTTGTCAAATGATGTCTTTGTATGTGGGATTACCTGAGTGCTCATTTATTCCTAATTCTTTAACAAGACATTCGTAGTAATACGATTTACATACAAAGACAATATTATTTGAAGCTTTATAATAGGTAACATTGTCAAAATATGGGTACAGCAGTCATCACTGTGTCACAATCTCAAAACAAACAAACATTTAACAAATCTTGAATAACCATCTTCGATAAATTCTAACAAAGCCAAACAAATCTGATCTTGAATATTAAGGTTCCGTGAAAATATGTGAATAATAAAAACTAATAACGGAAGGCATGAACACGAAAAAATGTAAAAAAAGATATAACTAACTAGCATTAACACAATTGGAAAAATTATGATATTATAGGTACATAAGAAAAGACTTCTGGTTCTTTTGTGTCGATTGAATGCCGCCCCTTTGACGAATATCCCCATCTAGTTTAATTCATATATAAAATTAAGATGAGGTAACAAGTATCCACCAGAGACCAAACGGCGTAGATGTAAGCAACTATAGGTCAACGTTCAGCCTTCAACAATGAGCAGATGTAGAATATTATAAATGTCAATCTACAATCTTAAACCATCATGAAGACCCCAAGATTAAGAAGGACTTTGAAAAACAGTATGCCCAACATAATGAAGTACACAGGAACAGCCTAACAAATATAATACTTATACTGAAAATAGAAAACAATAACTCAATTGTTTTATTTTGCAAGTTGGTTCAAATATTTTAAAAATAAGCTTGACATTCTTAAATCGTCCCACCTGGTAAAGTGTTTACTTACATTACTAGGGGCGTTAGAACAGTTAAAATAATATCCTTTCCAATCATTTTTTTTTTCAATTCTGAAAGTAAACCGACGAAACATAAACTGAATATTTGGACCAGGTAGCAATACCCATTTTAAAACGTTTTGTGTACGATACACAATAATCGATAACAGTAAACTAAATCATCGTTGCGTGTACAATGCATATAAACATATTCAAACACATATGTAAGTCGACATACCAATCTAATTTTTAAAAAAATCTTCTTGAAATATAAATTATAAATAATTGGCTCTGCCTACATTACTGGCTCCAATATCTATGTTGATTTGATATGAATTTGGTTAAATATACTTACCATGATTTTACATTTATATTATATAGAAAATGTTTGCCTTCATAACATGTTCTCATCGCAATTAACTAGGTGATTAAAAATACATACATGAGATGTACTCACCTATGACATAATTTACCTGTGATCACATACAGTAACTTCAGTTTTGATTTTTGCGTTCTTTTGCGTTCAAGTGAACGCATGTTTCTCGTCGACAAGGATTTTTAACAGTCCTACTGTTGAAAATCCTTATGTTTTATACAAATATTATTTGATTTTGGAATATCGTTTTACAATTAACTCAATGGAATTATCGTTTACACAACGCTTTTGATATGAGCATTTCGTCATTATTACGGACACTACGAGTCTGTAACAACGACGACCTAGAAATTAACCTTTGTTTAGCCGCCATTTTCAAACACTTAGACTGGTGCGAGGAACGGCAGAACATTTATGTCAAAATCAGACATGTTACACGAGTACTCCGTTTTAAAAAGAAACGGATGTTAATTTTCTTCTTCCATGCTGACCAAATTTTAGCTGTTTAGAGCAATCTACGAAAAGGGTCAAGTGGAAAGTTCGGAAAGAGTTGATTGCTTACATGACTCACGGTCATGAGTAAACACAACACTGTATTACAATCAGAATAGGTATTTTGACCAGATCTGATTATTTTACTGTGGATAACGTCCTATATGGGAGCGTAGACCATTATTGTTACTAGAACCTTAAGTGGTTAAATGTCAATCAGAATAGGGAATTTGTCCATATCTGATTATTTATTTGGATAACGTTTCTGTAGAACTATTAAAAGTAGTTATATGAATTACAATCGGAATAGGGAATTTGCCCAGAACTGATTATGTTTTTATTTGGTTAACCTTCTTTTAGGGAACATAGATCATCATTGAAAATAGAAAGTGGTTGATGCAACACAAATAAAATTAATCAAAATCAGAATAGGGATTTTCGCCCGGGTCTATATGATTAACGTTGACATCGTTTCATCCAGGGAACGTAAGTCTATCATTATTGTTACTAGAACAACATGCAAGATTTTGGGTCTACAAGTTGCATGCATTCTACAATACAGATTTTGATCTTACCTAAAAATCAGTTATTATTTTATTGCACATTGATATTTAGGGACCATTATTGGAAATAGAAACTTGAGTGGTTGACATAACACAAATAAAATTAATTAGAATCAGAATTGGGAATTTAGTCCAGATCTATCTGATGAATGTTGACATCGTTCCATCTAGGGAACGATGATCTACCTTTATTGTTTCTACAACAACATGCAAGAAGTCTTGAGTAGTTGACGTAACACAAGTAAAAATAATAAGAATCAGAATAGGGAATTTAATCCTGGTCTATCTTATTGTTGTTGACATCGTTCCATTTAGGGAACGTAGGTCTACCTTTATTGTATCTAGAACAACATGCTAACAAGTTGCACGCTTTCTACAACACACATTTTGATCTTAGCTAATTTTGGTTGCACATTGATTATTGTGATGAGTTCAGTCATTTATATACTCATATTGATAATATATTGAAAGTGTGTCTAGAAATGGTCAAGATTTGAAACAGTAGAGAGTTTTTAGTACTTACTGTAATACAAATGTGTATGTAGTTTAAACATGTCAATAAACAAAATTTATTATTATGTCCAGATTTTTTAGAGTATAGAAAATTCTAAGAGACCTGACATATTTTCTCTGAGCAGGAAATTGCTGTAGATTTTTCTTTGCATATAAATTTTTCTCCTACAGAAGTTAAAGAAACTACTGATATATTGAGGCAGTGAGACTAGCACACAGTTCTAAAACCTGTTGATAACTTGTGACAACTCATATCATATTATCATTTTTTTTATTTTCAAGGTCAGTTTATTAATGACAAGAAGAACATTGATATTATCAGTATGCACTGCTATGGCCAATTGGTTGTTTGTCTGCATTTATGAAACAAAAACTTTTATATGTATTTAAGTAAACATTAGTTTGTTTCTCCGGTTAGGAAGAGTTTAGGTGATGCCATTATGGTGCATTTCAAAAAGACTTGATTCACAAAATGGCTATGAATTTTGATAACATAAATCAGAGTGTACATTGCCAATGTATATGACATATATGATATGTACTTATATGCTATTTTGCATTAAGTACACTAAATGGTGGTAACATAAGACTAGGGTATATTTTACCCCCACTGATATGAGAATCACTGACGAATAATACATATATCTTCCAATTCTGAAAGGAAGAGATTGTTGGAAGTTCTTAAAAAGATAGTAAAATAGGCTTTGCGTCTTTAGTTTTCAAAGCAAAGACAACAAGTTGGACAAGATTAGCTGTTTGCTTTAAAGAGCCAAAACTGCTTTAACAGATTCATTGGATCTGTTTTCAATCTTAATGAGAGATGGTCGTTGAAACAGCTAATCTAACAGCTACAAGTTTCCCTGAGTTTATATTTAATCAGAAAGTTGAACTATATATGACTCAAATGTACTGATATATAAAAACAAAATTAGTATACTATTTATGTTTTGAGAATTTAGAATAAAAGCATATCATACAGATTTTGCACGAATTAATTATAAATAGTAAAAGATTAGAAAATGAATACAGAAAAAAGCATTGTTGATGCAAGATTCATTAAAAATGCTAGACATGCCATGGACGTAGAGATTGAAGTAGTTTACAAGATTTAGCAAGGAACTATCCAATACATCTCTTTATAATCTTCATTTTAGCTAGTCTTTACAAGACGCAGAAAAAGAAGAGGTCTTTTTGACTACACTGTTCAGATAAACATATATATTTCAATTTGTGCTCAAATTTTAGCATCTGTAAAAGCTGTTTGTCTAAGAGCAAAATACACAAGAAAAGCAGTTTATTTAAATGACTGATTAATAGTTAGCAAATAACATTCAATAGTCTGTTAGTGCATGGAAGTAAAATGCAATATAATAATTCCATGGTTAGTGCAAGACATTTATAAATATCTAAATTTAAAAATGTCACTGTTTATTTTTATTTTTGTGATTAGGTGTGATTTATCCCCACAATTGAGAGTATTCACAATTCAATTTTCATAATGATTAGTTAATTGATCAACAACATTTCATAATTATTTTAATGCATTGCAGGAAAAATATTAAATACCTAGAATAGAGTTAGTCTCTTATGCAAAAATGCAAGAATATACTAGACAAAATTGAAATGTGTTTATTAACAGTACTTTAAATTTTGAATTCAATATTGTTTTGAAATATGTGATTATATACAATCCAATTACTTTGTTTTGTCAAATCTTATGTCAATTTGGACAAATGCAAAAATTTTCTGAGTGATTTTTAGTTTAACCTAATGACAGTGTTGAAGTCACAAAAAAATACTACCAAAAGTGTTTTGGTGGGTATATAGGGAACCATATCAGAATGTATAGAATTCAGATAAGATGAACTGAGAGAGAAATGAAATGAGTATTTCTGATTGTGAAACCATTTCTGAAACAATTAAAAACACTTAATGCAAGTTAGTACAAGTGTTTTCTATAAGGTCAAACGTTTGTTTTCTTTAAATAGAGACAAGTTGCTTGTTAGTACAAAATGTATTTCTGGTTGTGAAATAATTTCTGAAACAAATAAAAACAATTGTCAAGAGCAACAGTTCAAGAGTTGTTCAATATGTCAATTTTTTGTTTCTTTTAATTTGGAACTGTGCATGGAAATTTATAATTCAGAACAAATTGTCTCCTTAAATTTCACATTTTTAGACAGAATAGCATTGTGTGATTTTAAAACATCATTAATAGAAAGATTTTTCATAGTTTGGGAAAATCATCTGTCAGTCACTCTTTTTTGCTTATTGAGGACAAAAGATTTTGGCTTGTACATGTAGATCAACATCCAAATGTTCTATAAAAGTATTAATGAGTAACAATTGGAAAACATGTATACTTAAATATATCCACTGATTTGTACATTTCTTTAATTTTACACTAGTAGTCTAGTACGAAATTCAAAGATAATGTTTGTTCATGGGTGGACTGGTAGACATTGTATTCAAAGGTTCTACCACTCTCATTGATTTTTTTTAATCAAACTTTAAAATTTAGTTGAATAGGAAAATTGTCAGGCCAACTGTAAAATGCATGACTTCTCTTGACAAAAAGAATTTCATTCTAGATCTGTTAAACTTTAGAAAGAGTAGTACATCTAGAAGGAAAAGTACACAAAGAGACTATTATTTCCAAACGTTCTATAGGTTGATCCATATTTAGCAAAATCATGAAACAACTTTTGTTTAAGTCTTTATTGCAGTTTTTTGTTAGACTGTTTAGAACACAAGTGATTTAAAAAGTATATTTGAATCGATTATAATTCATTGACAATTCAGCAGAAAAGGCTGTATTTTGAAAGATATTGATAATGATCAGGTTTTCAAAAGTTGATCACCAATCATATATTCTCTGTTATTATATTAAACTATAGAGAAAACAAAGAAAATTAGGCGAGAAGCTAAATGTTTTCAAATAAGTTTCGAAAACTAATACTTCAAAGTTGAAAAGTAATTATAATGATAAAGGCAAGATGCTACTAAATCAGATAAGGTTTGTTTAGTTCTTGTAGATTTGTACAAGCAATAAGAACAACCTATTCACATGACAAATCAAATACAAATGCACATTTAATGTTGCAATATTACAACACATTTGGCTCATAATGAAGGAGCTTTAATAAAATAATTTCTATTCTGCAGATTATTTATCCAAGGCTATATTTGCATAGTTTTA